GTTAAGGGTGGGAAGGGACTGGTGGGAGTCTCCAGGAGGTGGGATGGGCCTGGCGCGAGCAGGGAGGGAGGCCGCGGGCACCGAGACTGCATGCTCATGGTTGCCAGAGGCCGTGCAGCTTCCTGGAGTCTATTGTTCAGCCCACACTGGTCTGATTCCCAGACTCTTGCCCTGGAAGGACCTGGCATTCCTTGTGAACACAGCGTTCCTCCTCCCTGGCCTCCTGGGAGCTTCTCCAGTCTCAGGCACATGGTGCGTTATGGTGGCACGTGCACAGGTGCGGTTCCTGCCTGGCCTGGCAGTGACCCGGGAGGCCTGGAGGCTGAGCCTCCTCCTCAGCCTTCCACTCCTCAGCTCCTGACCTGCTGAGGGAGGGTGAAGTGCTCCTGGGGAGGGAGCTCTTGTTTGTGCCTGGTCTGCCTCAGAAGGTGCTGGAGCCGCTGAGGAGCGTCTTTCTACTGGAGCCGGGGTCGCGGAGGAGACTCCCCGTTGCAGTTGTGCTGTAAACGTCCTGTGGCTGGTCACCGTGCTTTTCCTTCCAGCCTCTGCAGCTGAGGTGTTGGCTGTGCGGTGTGCCCTGGGGCTCTGGGAGCCTGTCACCACGGTTGCACCGAGGTGACAGGGCTTTGCCGTGCTGGTGCCCAGGCTCTGCGTGCCTGGGGGGAGCTGTTAGTTGGAACATGGGCCCATAAGTTCATCTTGGATCCACCGAGTTTCAAGAGTGTCAGGTCGCTTCATCTGTGTGGTCTGGGCAGCGAGAAGGGAAGCGGGCCTGGCTGCAGCATGCGATGGCTGGCCCGCGAGGCAGGGCTGCGGGGAGCGAGCACTTCTGAGTGCTGTGGCATTTCACCTTCGCCTTTTCTGTTTGGTCCTCCCTCTGCCTCTCCTCTACTGCATTGTCATGTATTTTTTTATGTAGCAAAGATACATTTTTCTTAATAAGCATTTTCTTTTTCCCATTTTTTATAAGTGTGATTGAATTACCCAACTTCTTAAAAATGAAATACATTAGTTTGAAAATTACACAAAGCATTTTTAAAAAGTATTTTCACACCGTTCATCCCCTCGCCAGAGAAACTCATGCCCACAGAGCAAGAAGTCCACTGGAAATCTATTTTAACTCTCTAATCGGCAAGTCATTTTTATGCCAAAACAATTAAATTACAGCCTCTTCAGCAAGTTCCCAGCATGAGCCTTGGAAAGTTTGTAAGGCATCTTACAATGAAACCAAAAAGAGTTCTCTCCCGTGAGCCCTGTGCTTGACATGGTCTTGTTCTTGACGTGGCTCTGTGCCTGGCGTGGCCCTGTGCCTGGTGTGGCCCGTGCCTGGCGTGGCCCTGTGCTTGTGCGCACGTGGGCAGCAGCCTCTGCGGATGCATGCGCCCTGCTGTCCTGCTCACACTTGCGTGGCTGCGGGCTTGTGCTCCAGTCTGGTTTGGGTTGCTAGCCGCGTGGACTAGTTGTATAAGGTTTGCAGCTGCAGGCCAGCGTGTCTTAGGGAACCCTGGCGAGCAGCTCATGTTGGGCCTGATGGTTTGAGAGGCAGCAGTTGGTGGGGGAGACCCGAGTTGTGCCCTCTTCGCCACAGGGGGCTGCTGTGTGAGCCCCTGGCCCTGAGGGAATAGGCAGAGCTGCTGCAGACCCTCCTGGCCCACTCGGGCTGGGGCCTCGGAGGGCCAGCCAACTGGAATGGGACAGGCATGCCCTTCCAGTGGGTGGCCACCCATGTCATGTCCTTCAGGTGGAAGTTCTCAGGACTGCATTCTTGCTCTTTTTTATTTGGAAGCCATGCCCTGGTCTAGGTAAAAATTTTTTGCCTGAAGCCAAAAGAAAAAAGAGCTTGGAGATCTTGATCTGGCCCTGAGTCACCTGAGGAGGGTTGCCTGCGGGAATTGGTTTCTGGCTGTTTCTTGTCCCTGGTACTGGGCCCCTGAGTGGACGCAGCCTGGTTCACACCAGATTTCCTAAGCAGGAGGGAGTTTGGGATCGAGCTGTTGCTACGCTCTGCACTTCTCCATTAAGCATTTCTGGTTTTTTCCCTGTAGATGATTTTAAGTGCTTTACAAACTCCTCTGCTGTGACCTCACAGGGGTTTATAGCAGGGCTTGTTCTTGAAAGATGGGGGTGGGAAGAAAGAAAGTAGAGAACCGAGCAGAAGAGGGCTGTGCGTGCATGGGGCCCAGGCCTCCTGTGGGCGTTTCCTGGTGAGTCACGGGGTCCTGCTGGAGTTTGGGCAGAGCTTTAGGCTAGTTTGGGGGAGATCTAATGGACACAGAAACTTTTCCAGGCTCTGGGCGGGGAGGGCAGGTGTCCAGCTCTAGCTGGGTCCATCCAGGCTGTCCTGAGGAAAGGGACAGGGAGTCTAGGGAACGGAGATGACAGCACGGGGCCTTCTCCTGTGGGCCCTGGGGAAGGATGGCAGCAGTGCACTCATCCTGTGGCCCAGCTGGGGACCTGGCCGAGGCAGCTGAGCTCAGGCCGTGTGGGACAGGCCTGTGGCCCACTTCTTGAGCAGGCCTGTGGGCGGCAGGGCAGGTGGAGGGGCCTGCTGGGCTCCAGGGCCTGGTGGAGTCTGTGTCCTCCCCTGGACCTGAGCAGGGCACTGCCAGCAGGTGCAGTGGGTTTTGCAAGAGGGGTGCGTGCAGGGCTGTCGGTGCATGTGATGACCTGAGAGACAGAATGGGCCGAGTGTGTGCACGACCCTCTGTCCCATGAAATGTGCCAGTTAGTGGGGTCCTGGGGTGGAGCATGGCTGAGTAACTGCGATGCGGAGCTGGGTCTCCAGGGCCACCCAGTACCTGCTGCTCTGCGCCCTGGAAAGGCAGAGCAGATTGTAGAGGGCCCCCCTGGGCGATGATCCCTGCAAGTCTGCACCTGAAAGAGTCGCTTTGACTTCCACATGCACTGGGGCTGCTGCTTGGGACCCCTGCCCAGTCCAGGCCTTGTACTCTGGTGCTGGCTTGTGCAGTTCCAGAGGATCCGAGAACGCACTGACTAATGTCCTCTGTGGACAGACATTAGTGGTGCAGCAGAGACTACAAAATTACTCCGGAGTCACCCGGGCTTCAGGTTATTTTTTTCTCCATAAATTTATTTCTATATAGTTTTTTAAATGTGTAAGATTTTTTTATACTGAATTTGGTCAGTAAGTTACGTAGAAATAATACATTCAATTCATAATTATATGTATTATGTCTAATCAGCATTTTGGGAGGGTAGTCAAATGAAGTGGGGCTTCATGAAAATCATTTGCCTTAATAAATCATCATGAAAAATTAAAAAGCCATGCAGAACTTATGTCACGATCTAAAAGTTTGACAAGTACTTTAACTTAGTGTCTACTGAGTTGCTGTTGAGACAGGGTCGTGGTACCCGTGTGTTTTCCTGGTATTAGGACTTTTGCCTTTTGCTCTGCTATTGGGGTCACTGACTCCGCGGCCTTCTGCTGTTGAAGGGCGACTGCTGGTGCGTCCTTGTGTAGCGAGTCCTGTGTGCCTATTTTCGGATCTGCTACTCACACCTTGTGTTTTTCCTTGGGTACCTTGGCACCTGGTTGGGGGGCTTTCTTGAGACACTGAGGTCTGTGATTCTCAGTAAGATTTCCACCTGTGCCAGTCTGTGGGCAGAGACTGGCGTGTAGCATCTGTGCCCTCGTGGGTGGACAGATGTGCTGTCTTCAGAATCCCTGCTCCCTGGAGAATGTTTTGGGGTGCTCCTGTCACAACCACTGATGTTTAGCATGATCACCGGTATTCCTTTCTGCCTCTGTTTCAGTGAACATGTTGGGTTGGAATGGACAGGGTGACCTGGGACTCACTGCCTGCGGTTCAGTGGGATGAGAGCTCCGTCTTTGATGGACTTAGGTGTGGGTACACTGATGTGTCCAGTCCTGCACCTTCTGTGAAGTGTACATGTGGGTTCTTAGTGCACACGAGGCTGCACCCCTGTGTTGCCCGTTCTGCACTGGACACAGCAGGTGGGCCGCCAGGATGGGCTGGCCTTGCCTGTGCATCTAGGGCTCAGGGCAGAATCTTCCCCTCTTGCTTGGCAGGCAGATGGCATGGCAGTGGCAGTGACCACCAGGTGGGATGGTGTGTGCCGTCGTCAGGATTCTGGTTCCACCTCTGGAAGCAGCCCAGCTTCCCTGGGTGGGCGCTGGGGGAATCTGGCACGGTCCAGAGGGACTCTGCCCTGGGATTGTGACACGGTCCTGTGGTCGGAGCCTGGGGCTCCCTTTGTGAGTGTGTGAGCAGGGGTCTAGGAGGGAAGGGTGCCATAGGCCAGGCCAGAGAGGCGTGGTAGCTGAGGTGTGGGTGAGCTCTGGCCAGCACCCATGCGAGAGTGGTGCGACCGTGTAACCGGGCAGGGTGGCCTCAGCTCTGGTCCCGGGTAGCGGCTGCACCTGGGAGCTCGGGGGCTATTCCTGTGTCAGGTCCTCGCTCCCTCGTCAGCCACCTTTCTTCCCAGCAGAGGCTACTGCTTGACATCTGAGTGGCATGTCGGTAAAGTGCTGCCTGCAGCCTCTGCGGCTCACATCAGGGCCAGGTTCCTTCCCGCCTTCTCCCTGCCTCGGTTTCTCTGCCCTCCTTGTTGAGTAGCCTGTGCCTCTTGTGGTCTACACACACTCTTCCCGCAGGCTTTCCTTAGAGACTTGGGATCTTTTTTGGGGAAAAAAAAAATTATAGTTACTTACTTGAATTGCCTAACATAATTAATTACCAATAGTTGCTTAATTAGTGTTTTTTTTTTGACGGTACTGGGGCCTCACCTGGGCTAGGCAAGTGCTGGACCATTGAGCTGCACCCCAGGGTCTCCCCAGGTTGCCCTACTGTAATTACTGATTTTTAAGGAGGCAGAGAGCACCATGTTCATGGATCTGAATTCTTGTCGGTGTCCGTCTCCTTGATTGAGAGAGGCCCGTGCTTCCGCGGTTGGCCCTGTGACGCTCTGCTCGCCCGCTGCCGCAGGAGCTTTGCTCATGCAGTCTCTGTCTCTTCCAGGTGCTTGCTGTGAGGGCCTCGTTCTCCGCCTGCTCGTGCACTGCCTCCTCGCGGGCCCCTCCCTCGTTGCTGGGCAGCAGCAGCCTCTCTGAGGATGGAGAGGTAAGACGTCCCTTTGGGCCTGCGCCACTGACAGCCGCTCCGCCACCACACCCCCCCTCCTCCCCATGGATCGCAGCAGAGAGGCCGAGATGGAGCTGAGGAGAGGGCCCAGCCCGCCCAGGACCAGCCGGAGCCAGGAGGTGGACGGGGACAGGGCCGCCTGCCATAGCTGCTGCATCTGTGGCAAGAGCTTCCCCTTCCAGAGCTCGCTGTCGCAGCACATGCGCAAGCACACGGGGGAGAAGCCCTACAAGTGCCCCTACTGTGACCACAGGGCCTCCCAGAAGGGCAACCTCAAGATTCACATCCGCAGTCACCGCACAGGGACTCTGATTCAGGGACATGAGCCAGAGGCAGGCGAGACACAGCTGGGCGAGATGCGCGTGTCCGAGGGCCTGGACGGGTGCGCCAGCCCCACCAGAAGCACCTCAGCCTGCAATCGGATGCTGAATGGGGCCGTGCAGGTGGACAGCAGCAAGATCCTGCTGCGGAGCAGCCGGAAGGAGGCCGAGGGGACAGCCAGTGCCCCGGAGGAGGCTGAGGCCGTGGCCCAGTGCTCCTTCTGCAAGAGCCAGTTTGAGCGTCAGAAGGACCTGGAGCTGCACGTGCACCAGGCCCACAAGCCCTTCAAGTGCAGGCTGTGCAGCTACGTGACCTCGCGGGAGGAGTCGCTGCTGAGCCACATCGAGAGGGACCACATCACCGCGCAGGGCCCCAGTGGCAGCGAGGCCTGCGTGGAGAACGGCAAGCCCGAGCTGAGCCCCGGGGAGTTCCCCTGTGAGGTGTGCGGCCAGGCCTTCAGCCAGACCTGGTTCCTGAAGGCGCACATGAAGAAGCACCGGGGCTCCTTCGACCACGGCTGCCACATCTGTGGTCGGAGGTTCAAAGAGCCGTGGTTCCTTAAGAACCACATGAAGGCTCATGGCCCCAAGACTGGGAGCAAGAACAGGCCCAAGAGCGAGCTGGACCCCATTGCCACTATCAACAACGTGGTCCAGGAGGAGGTCATTGTCGCCGGCCTGTCCCTCTATGAAGTCTGCACCAAGTGTGGAAATCTGTTTACAAACCTGGACAGCTTGAACGCCCATAACGCCATACACCGCCAGGTTGAAGCCAGCCGGATGCGAGCCTTGGCCGAGGAGGGGGCTGCAGAGGGCCCCCCGGACACCAAGCAGTTCTTCCTACAGTGCCTGAATCTGCGACCAGCCCTGGCTGGTGACATGTCCCCTAGCGGGCAGGCTGGAAGACGGGTGGCTGAGCTGGACCCCGTCAACAGCTACCAGGCATGGCAGCTGGCCACCAGGGGCAAGGTGGCTGAGCCAGCAGAGTACCTCAAGTATGGGGCCTGGGACGTGGCCTTTGACAAGGACAGGCGTGAGTATATCCTGGTGAGCCAGGAGAAGCGCAAGCGTGAGCAGGATGCTCCGGCCACACAAGGCCCCCCCAGGAAGAGGGCCAGCATGCCTGGCGACCCCGTGCTTTCCAGCCACCTCGACCCCCGGCCAGCGGCACGCCCCAGCCGCCGGGCCACGGCCACTGCTGGCCAAGGCAAGTCCTCGGAGTGCTTTGAGTGTGGCAAGATCTTCCGAACATACCACCAGATGGTGCTGCACTCGCGTGTGCACCGCCGTGCCCGCCGCGACAGGGGAACCGACGGGGACAGGGCGGCACGCGCCCGCTGTGGCTCCCTCAGCGAGGGCGACTCGGCCTCCCAGCCCAGCAGCCCCGGCTCGGCCTGCGCCACTGCCGACTCCCCAGGCTCCGGGCTGGCAGACGAGGCAGCAGAGGACAGCGGGGAAGACGCTGCGCCTGAGTCTGCAGCAGGTGAGTGAGCACACCCAGGGACCAGGCGCCGGTGGGCCAGCCTCAGGCAGCCCTGCCCCAGGGGCCTGAGCCCAGGTGGCCCCATGCTCAGGGGCCCCTGTGTCTGGGAACCTCATGCCCAGGGATCCCTGCCAGATAGCTCCTGTCCAGAGTCCCGTGTTGGGGTGGCCGCGTGCCCAGGTGTCCTGCCCCTAGTGTGTACCTGCAGCTTGAGCTGGCAGATGCGGACACGGGCACCTGTCAGCTCCACCACCGTAACTTTCACTGCTTGTCCTACGTGCTTCCCCAAAGCCTGGACACCTGGGCTTCATGAGTGCACGGTCTTTCTGGGCGTGAGTAGTTTCTGAGCAAGGAACGTAGTCCTGGTGCTCCCAAGATGTGCTTCTCTTTCCCCTTTTCCCTCAGGTCCGTACAGCACATACACAGGCACGCACTGTGCACAGAAATAGGTGTGCAACACACACACACACGCACGCACTGTCCTTCACTCTTCTCTCTCAACACTAACAGCTGGGCCTAAGTTAACTTGAGTCTGTGTGCGGAGGTGATTAGCCTCCTCAGGTTCAGGTCGACCTATGGGTGTAGACAGTTAATTGGAACAGGTTACTTTCCAAGCAGTCTTCACGTAGAGATTGAAAGTTGCTTGGTCAACTGTGTTTTCACAATTGTCTACGTTTTTATAAATTCTGAACATTTTGATATTCCCTTTGCTGTTTTCTGCCTGGTGTATTTGTTAACCAAAGGGGACAGCACAGTTACGGAACTTAGAAGTCTTTCGTGGAGACAGGGCTGTTTCTGTCTTCTGCCTGTAACCCTGCTTGTTGGTGTTGCTTTTGCCTGAAGTTCGAGGATGGTAGAAGTTGGGGCAGAACTGTTGAATTCTGTAGTGAGGACAAGGTGTCGTTCTTTGGGATTAATCAGGAAGCCCTGCCGGCTTCCCTTCTTGGGGGTCGGGCAGGTCAGTCCTTGAGGGTCTGTGTGGTGTGCTGTGTGTGGTCTGCTACACCCAGAGGCATAGAGACACAGCTCTTGGGCAGCAGGGCTTTTCTTGGCCCTGTGAGCCCGGGGTGAGCTCCACACATTGCATGCAGAGGTGCACCCTTAAGCACCTCCACCGTGTCCCACCCGTCACTCGGTGCCCACCGGGCAGAGCCGCAGAACGTGTGCCCTCTCGGGCAGGGTGTGCTGGGGCTCGCTCCTCATGCTCTGGACCTGACTGCCCAGGTGAAACCCTGGTTGGCTGTCGTGAGGTTCAGTTCCTGGTTTCCTTCTCTCAGTTTTATAGCTCTGGCTCATTTTTACTGGCTGTGTTCTAATAGCTCTGACCACTCTGTGGAGTGCTCACTGGTGAAATATTAGGCACGTCCTGTGTCTTTTAATTTTGACTTTGAAGAGAACATTTTTTCTGTTTGGTAGGGCTGTCACCATTGTGACAGCAGGCAGGTGACGTGTGAGCGGGTCCACTGAGCCTTGGTAGTTGAGAGTCTGGGAGCATTAAGTCATTTTCACCATGAAGTAGAGCTTATTCTGTTTTTTCTTCTTGGGTTTGTTAAATTTTGGAAGCGTGTTACTTCTTATAGGCACTGTATATATATTTTTTCTTTTATTAGAGAAATTCACATATATTTCACATGATTCTATGACAAGATATATATTAATATCTACTTGAATTTAATGCAAATTGGCCACAAAAGAAATAGGATGTTGGAAAGTAGCCTGAAGCCATGCAGAGCCGGGCCCACGAGGTCACCCCTGTGATCCCAGGGAGCTTCTTCCTGCAGGTGCGGACCCTTCCCTCATAGCTGGAGGGGTGGGGTCTGAGGTAGCATTGGGTGACCAGGTGACGGCTGTTCTTAAGGAGAGAGACCACAGCACATCCATTCAGCTGCTCTCAGCCTGGGCCTGTGGGGTCTGGGCCAGGCCCTTGGAGCAGCTGATTTTGAACAGAGACCAGGTGTCTTGAATGCTGTGTTCTGGTTGGCGTTGTGCCTTAAAGCTTGCACATAGCTTTGTAGACTGAGGCCATTTTATATTCTCAGAGAGCTGATGGCACGACTTGGTGCAGTCCTTAGAGCAGGTTTGTAGGAATTGTCGGGCATCGGAGGCCGCAGTTCGCATGAGAGTCAGCTGGCCCATGTACAGCAGAGTTGGAAGTTCAGAGCTCAGACTTGTGTGCCCATTCCCGTAAATCCCATAAATCATAATTTTAACTGGGGGAAGAAAAAAGTAGAACTGACTTCTAGGCATCAACATGGAGGATGTTTTGGGCCCAGGCCTTTGGGAAGTTCTGGTGGGTACGCCCCGCCCCATCTCCACGAAAGTCCGGTCCACACAGCGCCTTACTGACTCCGTGTGCAGTTGAGTCCACAGGTAAGTAACTGCAGGTGTGTTGCTGGGCTGGGTATCCACCCCTGCTGAGCAGGCGGCAGATAGCACGGTGTGGTGTAGGAGGCTGTGGAAATCCACGTTTTGACCAGGGAGGAGGAGTGGTGAGAGGACATGGTGAAGTTCTAGAACACACATTTCCTAGTCAGAGCGCAGTGGGGCTCAGAGGGCTGCCCCTAGCAGAGTGGGTGCTGCTCCACAGGTGTGTGGGGGGACACCGTGTGGGGGGACACCGTGTGCAGCCAGAAGGGAGCCTGCTCAGAGGGGTCAGAGCACAGCAATGGCAGGAGCCCAGAGAGGCTGCCAGCAGCATAAGAAGCTGCTTTCCCCGTGACCGTGTGGCCTGAGCCCACACCTGGTGTGGCGGCTCTGGGGCTTGGCGCTTGGCATTACTGCACCCTCCCCACCTTAGGTCCGGAGGAATTCCCCTGCCTGCTTTTGTCCATTTCTTGTTATGCTGCCACCAGAGCCCCTGGCACTGCCGTCTGCATCTCTTGGTGCCCATGGGGACTTCACGGGTACTCAGGGTTCTTGAGGAAGTCCCGGGCAGTCGTGGTGCTCAGACACAGGGCCGAGGAGAAGCCCTGGCCTCATGGGAGAAGAAGGGCGCAGGTCTGGTGCTGTCCTAGGTACCAGGGGAGAGGTAAGGAGTGCTCAGAAGGAGCGGGGCCCAGGGAGGCCCCAGGTCACCGCAAGCAGGCCTCTCACCCTGCCGCCCGCCTCTCCTCAGGAGCTAACCCTCGCCCGCTGCAGAGGCGCGCTGAGTGCTCTGCCTGCCTGGTGGCCGCCTGTGTGCAGGAGCCCAGCAGGGCCGCCAGGCCTGCAGCTGCCAGAAGGTTAAGCAGCCGCTCCTGTTTCTTTTTAATAGAGCTCGTCGGCAATTAGCACAGCTTAGGGGGAAAGCGGCTGTGTGTGTCGCCCATTGACATGGGATTGAGGGGGAATCCCGGGAACAAAAGTAAGAATGTGCGAGGCTGGGGTCGCCAGAGCTCTGGTCCAGGGGCGGCCTGCTGGGCCGGGCAGCCTTGAGTGTGCTTACTCCAGAGTTTCCTTCAGGGCTCTGCAGAAGGAACTCTCAGGAAGCCTTCTCCCCTGACCTGCTGCGAGATCCACCCTGTTGTCTGGCCCACGGGGGGGGGGGGACTCCCTCCCTGTGGCACCGTGTCAGCCTCTGCCTTAATGCAGTGCTCCATCACTGGGCCGGCGGAGAGGCTGTGGGAGACAGAGGAAGGGTGTGGACCCAGAGGGGAGAACAGGTTGCTGAGAGATTAGGGAGGTGCAGCATGGAGATTAGCTGGGGAGGAACACAGGTGTCTGGAATCCATCCACGTGGGAGCCCTCGATGGGCGACGGTGAGCGTGGGAAGCAGGATTCTGGGCATGGTCAGGTGGGTGCCGGCTCTACACCAGCCTGCCAAGCTGCGGGGGCCGAGGCTGTTGCACCTCTCTGTGGTTTCCAGATGGAGCCCAGGGTCTTGCTCAGCGTGGCCCCTCCACCAGGCTGGCCGCCTGAAGGACCCTTTGGGTGTGTTTCATAGGCCCACCGGCGGCGTCATGCCCCGAGTGACAGTTGCTCTGATGAGGGTGGGACCTGGGCACAGAAACTCTGGCCTAAGGAGGTAGTGATGAAGGTTGCTGGGGAGCAGGCGAGGCGTGCAGATAGACACAGAATGGAGGGCGAGTGTGAGAGAAGGACGTGCAGGCTGGACCTCCGTTGGGTTCTTAGGCAGTACGGAGACACAGCCTGCTCTTGAGAGGAATGCTCAGGTGTCCTTGGCAGGAAAGGCAGGGTGCCCGGAGGTCCGCGGGTGTCCAGGGCCACGCTCCCCTGAGCAGTGCTGCGCACACAGGGCAGGATGCTGCTTGTTTGGGGTGTGCTGTGACCGCGGCACTTCAGAATTACGCTGAGAATAGCTTCTCGTAAGTGTGTCTCGTAGGCTGACTCGTTCACCACTGGGGTCTGTGCATGGCCTGCGTGCTGATGTTTGTTTGAACAGAAGACTGTTCCCTGTCCTTCCAGAATAAATTTATTGTGCTGTGAAAGATGCCGCACCCTGGAGATTACACCCTGGTGGTTTCTTGCTGCCAGCCAGGGCGTGGGGATATAGATGCTCAGTAGTGGAAAACACAGCATGCATTTGGTTTGCTGGGAAAATTCAGACGTATGATTTATTCCTGATTCTCCTTTTTGACGCAAGATAGAATCGTAGAATTTTAGAAGTGGGAGGGAACTAAGAGCTGTCTCATCTGTTCTCCTGTTTTATCCACGGTCAGCTGAGGCACCGGGAGAGTCTCATTCCCGGTGCACATGGGGTAGGCCTTGCTGAAGGTCGGCGTGTTTGTGTGCAAGTGAGCTTGGACTCCATGCTGGGTCTTCACGCTCCACTGCTGCTGAGGACCAGTGTGGACTCCCGAGCTCCTCAGCCCTGGTCCCCGTGGATGTGATGTCCTTGCCTCATTTCCTGTACCAGGCCTCATGTCCTGGAGCACGGTCCTCCTGTTGGTGCGGTCTGCCCCAAGCTGGAGCCTGCAGTGCCCAGGTCCTCAGTCCCTGTGCGGGCTTGTCACGGGGCCCAGAGGCACGTGGCATGTTATTTCAGTTCTTGCTCCGCTGGA